TACTTTAAAATGTATAAATTACGATTGTAATGAATTGTGTAACGTGTTTCTATTTTTAGGTACATTTCCCCCTGTTAAAGTTATATCGAAGTTTATATAAAAAGGAAAATTCGTTGTGAATTAATATCGAATTAATATATCAAATTTTTACAATACATTTGTGCTATTATATTATTATAGACACTTAATGTGACATTATACATACACTTTTTTTTTTTTTTTTTGGTGTTAAAGTGATCTCTAATGGAATAATGAAACACATCTTTTACAAAAACAAATGTCATTTATAAACCCAGGAAGTCTAAAATAGATTTTTATAATAAATTTTAAATTTCACTTGCAAATGACACGCGTAATACAATAAAATTCAATACTTATCTCTTAAAATAACTTACCAAAGCACTGCCATGTATTACGTTGTACTTTCTAATTTATATAAGAAGGGTAATTAATGACGCGTAAGATAACATTAGTGAAAATAAATTATATATTGAAAGATTATTGGATTAGAAAAATTATTCTTGCTCAAGTTGTACTGTTTCAGAAATCATTTATAAAATGAAAATCAACACCAAGCAACTTGCGCCCATTCCATTTGAAGCAGAGTCTGGTAATCCGACTTCTCCTTACTCACATTTTGTATCATGCATTATATTTTATTTAAACACAATGAAATCCAGCGTAAGACAAAAATACTCACAACCTCTCTGAACAAAATAAAAATTCAACATGTAATATATTAGGTTATGAATGGAAACTATTTAAAATATTACAATTCAAAATTTTTTGATCGAACTTGATCGAAGCACAAGTACTAAATTTATTATTAATATTACACAACTAAAAATCCATGAGTAGCTGATTTGGGTTCGAATATGAAGAACCATCGAATTAGACATGCAAAATAAAAGATAGCTCATTTGTTCATCGCATCACAGAATAATATTTAAAAAAAAAATTTATTGCAAATAAAAATAAAAATAAAAAATGTATAATAAGTAGCCTCATAAGATATACATATTATAAGATTCAAATATAAACTAGAGATACATTTCTCTCAATTTGGAATTCTGTACTTCATAATCATCTATCAAAAAATTTAATGCATTATGCATTTCTTTCAATTTGGAATACTTCATAATCATCTATAGAAAAATATGCGGCTTTAACTTTTTTATATGAAGCACACCGAATATACAGTAGTTATAATTGCTTGGATTAAACAAAACAAGGTCCCAGCAACCGAATGCTGGACCGCAATTAGGAAAACAACAAACTGCATAGCGTGGGTCATTTATACGACCTAAAATAGAACCTTGAGTAGTACCATTTTTCAATGAAAAAATAAAACTCTTATCGCAATACTTGTAAAACGTTTGTTGTGTGACATTCCATGAAAGAGGATTATATCCACCAAGAATTTCATCCGTGCCTTTAACTTTTATGACTATAATTAAATTTTCTTTATTATTGCATAATCTCCAAAATGTATCACGATCTAATCCATCTCTGCTTCCACGAAGAAGTAATTTAAATATATACGGGTTATTTGCCGCAGAATATTTGACACCTTTCACATCGTCAATCCATGAAGCAATTTCAGTAACTTGTTCTTCACATAAAATAGTTGAAGAGGGTTCTCTTTGTGAATTTTTAGGAACAATATCAAAATTGTGATATTTAGAAAGTGTGATCATATAAACTTCCTTTATCTTTTGTAGACGGTTTTCAGGGTTAAAAGTACAACATTTTCGAATTAAAGTTTCAAGATTTTTTGGACATTCTTGTTCGCTAAGCTTGCTAATTAAATCATCAATATTTCCACAAGCCTTAATCTTCATGACTTTTTCAATATTATTGTTCTGTTCTTCGTATATTCTGCATGTTACGAGATGGTTATGTGAGCAATAATACAAATAATAATAAACATGTAAAGTTAAAAATAGCAAACATACTCTTCACCATTCATTGCAATTTCCCACAAAATAAGTCCATAACTATAAATATCTGCAATTTAAAAGCTAACTTAATAAATAAAATAAACGACAAGAAATACGTATTAGAGTTTAAAATATACCTGAAAGTGTCGGGTTTTTTATATAATTATTCTGTAGCTCTGGAGACGTATCAAAAGAGCCATGTTAGTTATAGTCGAAATATATAAATTTTGAATAATTTACCTAAAAGTTTTGGTAATTGGGATTCATCATAATAGCGTTTAAATAATTCATTTTTACAAAGACGTTCAGGTGCAGCCCATAAAACCGTTCCTAATATATCAAACCAAAAAAAAAGAAGATTCAGAAATAAAATCGTGAATTTAAAACGTCATTTTAGTCTGTTAACTTGCCAATATTCTTGGTTTCGTTATTTAGTTCAAATTTTTCGATACTTGCACTGAAATCTGCAATCTTTAATAGCAATTTACTATTCTTTATTACTACTAAAATATTTTCGGGTTTTAAATCCGAATGTATAATATTATGGTTATGACATTCTGCTAATCCAACTGAAATTTGACCCGCCATTTTTTCTTTTTCTTCATCGTTTAGAGAGTTTCGAATAAGGTATTTATGTAAATCTTCCCCATCTGCATACTCTGTTACTAAGCCGATTTTATGGTTCGGAGTATTAGTCCAACCATAGAAGTCAATTATATGTTTACAACCTTGGGGGGATTCAAGTTTATCAAATTCACTTATCGCTGCTGCTGTACCAATCCGGATTATCTTTACTGTAGTGATGAAAAGGAATATTAATGATGCTAAAATTATATGTATATATTTTTTAGAGACAGTTGCGCAAAGAGACAATCGGATTCAAGAGCCAGGTTTGTAAACTTTTTATATTATTATAAAACCTGGGTCGCCAGATGCATAAATCATTTTTTGAGCAACTTTTTCATAAATAAATCGTAATAGTTGCCTGCGACTAGTTTTCCATTATATTTCATAAGTTCTACATCGCCGGATGATCCACTGCCAATTTGTTTATTTGGCTCAAGTTTGGCACATTCAATGTTATCCATCTTTAAAGACATTCTTATGAGTTTAAAAAAATTTTTTCTTGTATGTAGTCAGAGGAACGTCACACAATCTGTACTTCTATCGGAAATAGTTTATAGCTATCTATATATGATGGATGCTGTGTAATTTCCACGTTTCCAAATTTTCGTGAAAGCGATGCATCAACTTCAGCAGTGTAACTTAATTACATTATTATTAAATGAAAAAATTTAAGCTCAGTAGTTATCTAAAAATTCAACTTCTTTTCATACGAAAACTATATTTCTGTTGCTTGAATCTTTTATAACAAGGTAAACAGCGCAGAGTATGCTTTCTATAAAGTTAATAGAATATAACGTTATTATTGATATTGTTATTAGAAAGATGTCGAGAATTACTGGAGACATGGATTCTTCATTCGACCAGAACGAATCCACCGGTGCAAATATTACTGGTGGTGACTTGAATTCTACGACTTACCAAGAAAATTTTGGTGCTAATGCTATAAAAGATTCCAGTGCTAAAGTTACTGATAATTTGGATTTGGTTTCTGCAACTGGCAAGAGCAATTCCAATGCTAAAATTACTGGCGGCGACTTATCCAATTAATTGTTCAGAGAAATCAAATTACTAATTTTAATTGGTTATTTTTTTACAAGTTATTTATACTTCATATCGATATATAAATGCACTTATCTAACATTAGTTAATATCGATATTTCTGAAAGCCTGTTTACTTAAAAATATGGTTTTCGATTTTTTTAGATTGATATGTTATTCATTGTTGCATTATCGTTATTGTAATTATGCTAAAATTTATTCTGCTATAGCGATAAAGACAATCATCTAAACAGATCATGCACGTCTTATATAATAGGTGTATCGATATTGATTATGCATGCTACCATGTTTGTGCGAAATAACTTCCATGGGCGTTAATATTTTAAATTAAGATTTGAGTGACCTACAAAATTTTCTGTGCAACCAATCCAAATTTTTACTACTGTATAAACAAAATTTTGTGAAATAGAGTGTAAATTTCCCACCGTTATTTTCTTAAACTTTAGTTTCATTTATGATAAAAAAGCTTATTCCATAAAATTATTTGGACAAAATAAAACAAAAAATGGGATCGACTTCTGACAATTCACAAGTATGCGTTCAAATTCCCGATGTTCCACACAATGGAAAGAAAATTACGAATATTGTCTGCTCCCCTAAAATTAGATATGTTTCTACGTTAAGTGAAGATGATAAGTCTATCGTTTTGTGGTCTGTCTTAGAGCATCAAGAAATCTTAAATTATAAAGATATGAAAGACATGAAAGATATAGAAGACATCTCAGAAGAATGGCTTAGATTATTTGCTGTTTCTGATGAAATGCTTGTTTCATTTAAGCATAGTAATGGTCCCTATAATTTTGGTAAGCACAATTTAAAATTTATTTATAATATTTTAAACTGCAGGTAGAACTAATTTTGTTTTATAATTAAGAAATTTTTGATTTTAAAACTGGAAAAACAATATCACATCACTTCCCGGATTGGCAAAAAGAAATTTATTCTTTATCTTTTATTGGTAACGGAAATCTTGTGATGGCCAGCATCAAAAATTATAGGGCATATATTTTTAGTCAAGGGAGAAGAGATGACATTTGGACTTGTGAATCAATAATTGATTTAAATTATTTTAATAAAATTTATATATCACCTA